CCAGCAGCCAGCGTGAGCGGCCAGCAGCCACAGTGAGCGGCCGTCCAGAAGCCAGTGACTGATCTGCCTCACGCGGGAAGAGCACAATGATGGTGCCAACTTGGGCCAGTGAAGCAACGTCCTCCACAACTAGACTAAAGACCAAAACGACAGCAACTTGTCTGTTCCCCTTCCCCCAATTCCCCAGCACTGTTCCCGTCCCCCAATTCCCCAATAAAAATCTTTAAAAAAAAATTACAGTTACTGAATTTAAAAACTTAATTATGAGTTAGTGATGTTTAGACACAGCTGAAGATAGAATTAATGAACTGGAAGATCTGATAGGATAACCAATAATGAAGTTCCTAGAAATAAGAGATGAAAAGTATGAAAGAAGTTGAGTTATGGAGGCTAGAATTAGAAAGTTCAAAATGCATCTAAAAGGAGTTTCAGGAGGAGAGACTAGAATGATAAGGGAAAGGCAATATTCAGAGAGATGAAGCTAGGATTTTACAAATAAATGAAAAACATGACGGCTCAAATTCAGGAAGCCCAATGAAGAATACCAAGACAAGGAGAATATCTTAAAAGCAAACCAGAGAGAAAAAGATTCCTGTAAATAATCAAACAGAGCAAACTTAACCACAGCAGCGATAGAAGCCAGATAATAGAAAATGTCATTAGAGTACTTCTGTAAACCTGGAAATATTGACCAAAATAAACAATTTTAGAGGGCAAGAGGGAGAACAACAACAAAAAAATCTGGGAATTGTTGGATTTAGTATTTTAAGTTGCTTACATTGTTTTAGAAAGAGGGAACAATAAAAGACACTTTAAAAATATGGTAGGGGCCGGCCGAGTGGCTCAGTTGGTTAAGAGCTTGCTCAAGAGTGTGAGCTCTGAGCAACAGTGTCGCTGGTCTGATTCCCGGCCCAAGCTGAGCTGCCACTGAGCTGCTAACAGGTGGCAGGATGGCTCAGCTAAAAAAAAACCCAAAAAAATCAAGAGTGCGAGCTCTGAGCACCAGGGTCTCCGGTTTGATTCCCACATGGGCCAGTGAACTGCGCCCAAGCTGAGCCGCTCCTGAGCTGCCAACAGGTGGCAGGATGGCTCAGTTGGTGAGAGCACGTGCTCCTAACAACAAAGTGGCCTGTTTGACTGGTGGGCTACATCCACTGCAATTAAGATTGAACTTGAGCTGAGCTGCCTTCTGGATGGCTCAATGGATAGAGCGTGCACTCTTAAGAACAAGGCTGTTGTTTCGACTCCCGCATGGGATGGTGGCTATGCCCACCCGCAACTAAGATTGAACACGGCACTTTGAGCTGAGTGGCTGCGAGCTGCCGACGGGCTGTTGGATGGTGACTGGACTTGGAGCTGAGCTAGCTGCGCCCTCCACAACTAAGACTGAAGGACAACTTAGCTCTTCCCCTTCCCCAATTCCCCAACACTGTTTCCCTCCCCCAGTTCCCCAGTTAAAAAAAAAAGATGGTAAACATTTCCATATCAATAAATACTTTAAAACAAAATTTCTCAAAATATTTTTCAAAGTGTTAATTGTAATAAAAAGTTTAAAATGTTTGGAAATATATGGGAGAATGACTCCATGATCCCAGGGAAAAGTTTAAGATATAAAATGCACAAAGTTTAAGAAAAAATATTGTTAAGAATGATTACATAGGGGCCGGCCGAGTGGCGCGTTGATTAGGAGTTGGCTTGGGACGCCAGCTCTGAGCAGCAGGGCCCCGGTTCGGATCCCACATGAGGGCCAGTGACGCTGCGCCCTCTACAGCTAAGATGGTGAACAACAGCTCAACCTGGAGCTGGGCTGCCGTGAGTCGCCGTCGACGGCGTAGGCTGCAGTGGAGCTGCAGTGAGCGGCCGACAGCCGGCGTGAGCTGCCAAGAGCTGCTATGAGCAGCCGTCCAGTGGCTGGTGACTGATCTGCCTCAGTCGGGAATAGCACAATGATAACACCAACATGGGCCAGTGAAGCGACATCCTCCACAACTAGACTGAAAACAAAGGGACAGCAACTTGTCTGCTCCCCTTCCCCGATTCCCCAACGCTGTTCCCTCCCCCAATTCGCCAATAAAATCTTAAAAAAAAAAAAAAAATGATTGCATAAGAATTAAGAACCTGTGTTTATCATAAAAGGCATGAGTATGTAGGAAAAGTGGAAGCCTGAATTGTAAACAGGCATGGAAAAATGCAGAACCTCATTGGTAAATGAGGAAATTAAAATTAAATGCTACTTTTATACTCACTAGACTACAAAACATAAAATGCCTGATAGTGGCCATGTGTTGGCAAAGATGTAGAAAAAAGAGAACTTTATTCAGTGTTGGTGGAAAAGTGAAGTGTTACAATCACTTTATTAAACAGTTTAGCTGCCTTTAGTAATGTTGAGCATAAACATACCCTGTGCCATGGCAATTCTGTTCCTAGGTGTGTACCTTCCCCAAGGTTATAGTTAGTTAAGGCAGCAATTTTGTGCTTGCACAAAAATAGTTAGTTAAGGTAGCAAAATAGCAGCAGCAAAATATGGTACAGTGGAGAGGTATACTACCTGGATCAGACCCCAGCTCTGCCACCTAGCAGTTTTGTGACTTTTAATGTTACTTAACCTCATTTTGACTCAGTTTCCTCTTTTGCAAATATATTGAGTTGTTGGAAAAGTCATGACGTATTTTTTCTGTTTTTCGTTGCAAAAATGCGTCATGACTTTTCCGACAACCCAATAGTATATACCCAATCATGTAGGGTTAGTGTGAGGATTAAATAGTTTGTAAAGCCTTTCTTATGTTGAATGTTGTATAAGTGTGACTGTTACATATGTAACAATACATAGGAATGTAAAAAACATGTTGAGTAAAACAACCAAGTTGCAGAAAAATATAAACAGTATCATGCAATTTATATAGTCAAAGCATATAACATTTAACAGAAGTTTACCAAGAAAATTGTTAAAACTTAGGAATATAGGTACTTTTTGTGGAAGGAGGAGGTGGGTGGGACAGGGAGGGACACATGGGAGGTTTCTATTTCTTAAGCTCAGTGGTAGATCATAGGTGGTTTATATTTTCCTTGGCCGGACTATACATGTTCATTGCGTTACATTTCATTTTAAAAAACTACTTAAAAATAAGTTTCGGATATATGGAGTTGAATACTTTTTTGATGGAGGACTTCTCAGAGCACAAATAATGTTAATTGTGCATTGTAACCTTCAAAGAGGGATGTAGAAATTTTAGTGCTCCCCACTTGGTCATGGAACCTTTTGGGTCTTAACATTTGAAGTAGGGCGATATTATGTGATTGTTGATCTTTAACTTGAGATTTAATGGCTAAATAGATTCTGTTTCACAGATGCACAGATTTTATTTAACTAAACCATCTATTACACACTTAATTTGTTTGCATTTTTAAATCTTATGACTAACATTGAAATATTTTATTAAAATTTTTTTTACAATACTGAAATCTTTGCTTATATCTTTAATTGTGAAAATGTTTTTTTTTCTGAATTGTATTATTTCATTTCCTTTATTCTAGGAAGGAATTGTTGAAAATCTTTTCAAATGGGCCCGAGAGGCTGATCAGCCATTGAGGACATATTCTACTGGACTGTTAGGAGGTGCTATGGAAAATCAAGACATTGCTGCCAACTATAGGGATGAAAATTCACAGCTGGTAAGGACTATGTTAAAGGGAATTTTTGTGTAAGATGGGAGAGTATTCACAAGTTTTTTTTCTGCTACCTGAACTTGAATAGGTAGCTTTTATTTATTGTCTTGTTATAGGAGTGCAGCTGTAATTTCAACATTTTAAGATTACTTTTTATAAGAGTTTTGATTTTACTTTTTTTTTTTTTCCCATTTTTTATAAGAGTTTATTTGAGCCAAAACTGAGGACAATTGCTGGGCTGCAAGATCTCAAATGCTCTGATTTTACTTTTTTTAACTTGAAAATTTTAACTGTTTTTTATCGTGTCAAGGATCATGATAGTTTAAATCAGATAAAGAATAATACCATTTCCTTTTCCTTCCCAATATTTGGATTATGAAAAATTTTAAACATAAAATTGAAAGGTTGAAAGAATTTTATAGTGAACAGCTGTATACACACCACTTAAATTGTGAACATTTTACTATATTTATTTTATTGCATATCCATCCATCCACTCACCCTACTATCCATCTATCTCTCTTTTTTTCTTAATGGAGTTCAAAGTAAACTGCAGACATAATCCCTCTCTTTTTTTAAAACTAAGCACAATACCACATTTTAAGGTTGGCCCCAAAAATAAATACTGAAAAGGAAAAGTTAAAAAATAAGTGATGAACTTGAAAAACAGATTATGTAATTATGTGGATGTAATTAATGTAGATGACAATGTCTAACAGAATATAACTTACGACAGATACAAGTTTGAGAAATTGTTATGTTTGATTTTCAAAGACACTTTTGTTTAATTTGTAAAGATTTTATTAGAAAATTGGGGGAGGGAAACAGCGTTGGGGAATTGGGGAAGGGGAACAGACAAGTTGCTGTCCTTTTGTTCTTTAGTCTAGTTGTGAAGGACATCGCTTCACTGGCCCACATTGGTATTGTGATCATTGCGTTCTTCCTGGGTGGGGCAGTCACTCGCCGGCCATTGGAAGGCTGCGTACTGCGGCTCACAGTGGCTCATGGCAGCTTACGAAGGCCACGCCAGCTGCCGGCCAGCCCCACTGCAGCCTACGCCGTCGTTAGTGACTCAGGGCAGCCCAGCTCCAGGTCAAGCTGTTGTTCACCATCTTAGCTGTAGAGGGTGCAGCGTCACTGACCCTCATGTGGGATCTGAACCGGGGCCCTGCTGCTCAGAGCTGGTGACCCAACCCAACTCCTAACCAATGCACCACTCGGCCGGCTCTCAAAGACACTTTAAAAAAATTGTGAATAATCTCATGTCTGCCTCTTTAGGTGTGATGGTCCAACCCAGCTTGATCCAGAGAGATCAGTTGTGAATGATTTGTTTTATGTGCAGATCTCCTGGTTTGGGTTCTCTGGGAAATTTTATGGCAAATGAGACTTTTAGCTGTTGCTTATTTCATCAGGCTATAGGAATCAAGTCTATATACATATTTATTAAATCTTTACTATTACCAGGCATTAGGATAGCTGCATATCTAGTTCTCCGTAAAGAGAAATAAAAATTATTTATTAAGAATCATTTAAGATGCAGTAGAGACAACCCCTTTTATTCTAATATCTGTTGATAGGTAGCAATAGTACTTCGAAGACTGCGGGAGCTACAGCTTCAGGAAGTGGCTTTGCGGCAAGAAAGCAAGCGTCCCAGCCCACGAAAGCTGTCTTCTGAACCCCTTTTGCCTCTGGATGAAGAAGCTGTGGATATGGACTATGGCGACATGGCTGTAGATGTAGTGGATGGCGAACAGGAGGAAGCCTCGGGCGACATGGAGATCTCCTTTCATCTTGATTCAGGCCACAAGACCAGTAGTAGAGTGAACTCAGCATCCAAACCTGAGGAAGGAGGATTGAGGAAAAACAAGTCAGCAAAACAGGGTGACAGAGAGAGCTTTAGGAAAGCCAAGCAAAAGTTGGGTTTCTCATCATCTGATCCAGATCGCATGTTTGTTGAGCTGTCTAATAGCAGCTGGTCAGAAATGTCCCCCTGGGTGATTGGCACCAATTATACCCTTTATCCTATGACTCCTGCTATTGAGCAACGACTTATTCTCCAGTATTTGACCCCTCTAGGAGAATATCAGGAGGTAAGCTAATTGGGAAGAGTACTATTCACACTTTGGGATTACTGTGTTTATTTCTGTGATATTTTATGGTAGCATTTTATACATTTATGTGTTTTTACTGTAATACAAAAAAGTCTTCGCCCCAAATGGGCAAACTCCTATGCAGCTCACTTCTGATAAGGCCTATTTAATTAAAGTGTGTTCATAAGTTTATCTTCGTAAAGGAGGTGGGTAAGAGGTATCTCATTTCTTTAATCTTCTATCCTCATAATGAAGTAGGGAGTAGGTGAAAATAAAGTCAAACGTTAAGACTTGTTTTTGGTCTTTATTTCAGTTACTTCCCATATTCATGCAACTTGGATCACGGGAATTGATGATGTTTTATATTGACCTGAAACAGACTAATGATGTTTTGCTTACCTTTGAGGCACTCAAGGTAAAGTTCTTAAAAATATTTGGTCACTGAGCATTTTATTGACATGCATGTGCCTGTGTGTTTTGGTATATAGCATCTATGGGTTTTAGTGCTCAGGGCTTTCTATTGCCAGATGTGTCAAAATAGGAACAAATGAAAAATTCTTACTTTGATAGAAGAAATGAGGCTTACCAAGTTCCTCCACAGAAATTCAGGGGTCAGTCCCAGAGAGTTAAATGTTACAGTAGAAATTGGATTTTGTTCTAGGAGTGGCCTCAGTTATTGCTGAATAGAAATGGAAAAGTATGTGTATAGTACCTTATGTCATATTGCCTTTTAGATATTTCTTCTGGCAACCAACAATACTTTTCCTAAATTCTTAACTATGTACATATTAAATGATGATAGATAGATTATCTAGGGTGAACAAAATATAAACCAGAAAGTAGTAAAGAAATAGTGGCAGACCCAAATTCAGTAAAGGTAAATGATTTCCTGGGCTAAATATGGGAGGGCAGGTAAGTCTAGCCCACCAAATCCATACTTATCCATGATAATTAAGGTAATCTGAATGGAGAGAGAGAAGTTGAAAGAATAACATTAGGGCTATCATACAGTTCTACTCAACAGGCAACTAATGAACAAAGTATCATTCTGTGATGTTTATGATATTAAATCAAGAGTGTCCTTTTATTTATTTATTTTTTAAGATTTTTATTGGGGAATCGGGGGAAGGGGAACAGACAAGTTGCTGTCCTTTTGTTCTTCAGTCTAGTTGTGGAGGAAGTTGCTTCACTGGCCCAAGTTGGCACCATCATTGCGCTCTTCCCGGGAGAGGCAGATCAGTCGCCAGCTTCTGGACGTCTGCTCACTGCAGCTGCTGGCTGCTCACACTGGCTGCTGGCTACACATGGTAGCCCATGGCACCCCACCTGCCGTCGCTGGCGACTCATGGCAGTTGAGCTGTTGTTCAGCATCTTAGCTGTAGAGGGCAGGGTCACTGGCCCTCATATGTGGGATCCGAACCGGGGCCCTCTGGCATCCCAAGCCAGCTCTTAACCAATGCACCACTCGGCTGGCCCAAATCAAGAGTGTCCTTTATGGATGGGTTAAGAGAGACAGGCATATAAACTTATGATTTCTTTTAGATATTACAGAAGTGAAAAAATTGTGGGGCACAGAGGGAGTGGTCTGTTCTCTCTGAGAAATATTGGTTTTCCAGAAAAGACCCTTGAAAAAGAGAGAATGCTCTCTCTGGGTCTTTAAAATCACAACTTCATTCTTGATATTCCAGGGCTATGCTGTCCAGTAGAACTTCCTGTGATAATAGAAATGTCTGTGTCTGTACTGTTCAGTACAGTGGCTACTAGCCATATGTGAGCACTTAAAATGTAGCTAGGTGCCACAGAGGCACTGAAATTTTACCTTAATTTTAATTAATATTAATCTAGCCATGTGTAGCCAGTGACTACTGCGTTGGATAACACAGTTCCAGAGTATATTGAAATGAAATAGAAATGAGAAATTTGCCTTTCAGACCCTAGAAATTTTAAATTTGGAGGAGGTCAGATATATATTGGAGTAATGTGTATCTCTGTGGGCGAGATGTGTGTGTATGTGTGTAAACTCACATGTTTATACTTTGAGCCATTGGACGAAGCTGGAGGTCACAGTTGTCTCCGGTGGCCCAAAAGTATTGCTTTCAGATGCAGCATCTGGTCCTGAGCAGGAGATAGTGGAAGAAGGGATTTGGACAGTTGCTGTTTCTATAGGTTTTTGTATGAGGAATTGTAATAGGTGTTGTTATTTAACTGTTTCTATGCAAAGTCCTATTTGGAATTAAAGAAAATGAAATAAGGATGAATGGAAAAATCACAAGAGATCCTTATTTTAGGGAAATAAAAGTATAGAAAGTGTACTGTTTTGTTCAAAAGGAAGGCTCAGTTGTGTAGAAGAGACAGTTGAAGTTAGTAAATTGAAGAACTAGACCTTATATGGAAATATAAGGAGAGAAAATAGAATCTGCTTGCATGAATGAGAGGAGCCAGATGATAGGCTGTGTTGAACCGAATAGAACTGAGGTTCTTGGTAAAGGTTAAACCTGCTTGTTCTCTGTTACTTCACCTACCTATCCTGGCAGTGGAACTGCCACTTCATGGTAGTGACATGAGAAAAACCATACGCAGTGGCCTAAGTGTTAGAGGGGAACCATACATGGTTTAGCTGCTTCTTGGAGGAATAAGTGGACGGGAGTGTGGTAAAGGTTTGTGTAACATGAAAAATAGAGTAAAGGGCGAAGGGATTTGAATTACAGTGACGATTAGTCTGAGTCTGGGTGTTGGGACAATTTTGAAGAGGGTACGGTATCTATTGTTTTTGCCATTGACCTTGGTGAGATTCGCACTGGTACCAAATCATGTAATTGTAAATCTGTGTTGTCTTGTCTACGTTGTGCCTGTGTCACCACCCGAGAGACACCTTGGCATGAGAAACAGGAGGTGGAGCTCTAGCTCTCCCAAGACCCCTCCACTGGGGCCTGGGTTCAGAGTCATTAAGTAGCCTGCTGCTTGCATTGCACTCCCTGCCCTTAAAATTGCCCAGGTGATAGGGTTCACCCAGACAGGCTAGTGGGAATGGAATAGGAAGTTCACAAAACTTAACAGATAACGAACTTTTAAAAGTCTATTTAAAGTGCATTCTCCCATCCAAGTACTAACCAGGCCTGACCCTGCTTAGCTTCCGAGATCAGACGAGATCGGGCGCGTTCAGGGTGGTATGGCCGTAGACTAAAGTGCATTCTGATTAGTTCTGAAAATTTACTAGTTCTGATAATTTGCTAAAGATTGTTCTTTGGGGATATATTTAGGATCTGTTTAAATGAAGGCAAACATGGGGTTTTATTAGATGATGAGTCAGTGACTGAGCCAAAGCTAGAACATAGAGCTGATTATGTTAAAAGGATTAAAATGGGAATGTTACCAAAAATCCTCTAGGGAAGCTGTGTAATAATAACATGGTTGTTGTATTATGTCATTACTTACAGCAGGATTTTTTTATTTCTTGTTTTTCACCTTTGTGAAAACCTTTTGTGTTGGAGGGATGTTATGGAATCTTAACAGTGTTTTTTTATTTGTTCTCCTTAAGCAATAAGCAATACGGGTTTTATTTCTGTTGTGAATGAGTTACTTTCTATTTCAGAGGATTCCTTGTGTTTAGCAGCTTAATTTAATATTTTGTGAATTGAACTTGTGATTGTTCTAGATTGTCCTATGGTAACATGTCTTTGTTTAGCACCTAGCATCTCTCCTGCTCCATAACAAGTTTGCCACAGAATTTGTCGCACATGGTGGAGTACAGAAATTACTGGAAATTCCTCGTCCTTCAATGGCTGCAACTGGTGTATCCATGTGCTTGTATTACCTGTCCTACAACCAGGATGCCATGGAAAGAGTAAGTCCAGTCCATTCAGGTATATGGGAATGGGACTGGATGGGTGGACAGTCTACGGTACTCATAGAACAACTTTTGGATAAGAAAAAATGAATAGTTGGAGTAAATTTTAATGAAAGAAGCAAGGAGCCTGAATGTCTGGCCTTTACAAAGCATCCTAAAAATGTAAAATTGTTTAGGAACAGTCCATTTTTTTCTGACTCTGGGATGGGGAATCAAGGTGGATTGGGGTCTGGGAGCATTATTTAGTTTTTACCTTTTGTTAGGCAAAACTAAATTGCTTAAGGATTGTTAAGATTAGTCTTCAGGCACTTTTCAGATGTCCCTCAGTGGAGTTGTATTTTGCATTTTTTAGTCAATTTATTACAAAAACAACAGATGATGCTTTTTGTATGTTAACAAATAGTATTGTTGTTGTTAACAAGTAGTCTGTGTGGAGATCATTCCAGTTGCTCTCAGGGCACCAATGGTTCCAGTCTGGTTCTTCTGTTTTTCCAGTTTAGTCTTTTTTATTTACTGATTTTAAAAAAGCGTAAGTGGATCGTACTTTTGAAAAGTAATGAGTCCCTAGAGACCACTAAGGAGGCTCTTGTCATTTCTATGCCTGGAACATTTTTCTGATATTTTGGGTGGTATGGCTTTTTTGGTAGAGCGATGTTGGTAACTTCTTTGGGGCTATGTCTTTATTCATTTTTGCATATGTATTAATGTTTTAAATTTTTTTCCCTCTTGAGATCAACATTATGCAAGGATATGTACTCTTTTGGGAACAGTAAACTACTCTGGGTGTGTATCTACAAAAGCAATTATGGCTAAGAGAAAAAGTACCAAGCAAACGTGGGGAGTGAATTCCTTGTCTGACCCACAGGAGACATGAGAATGTGTGTGAAGGGATCATTGAGTGAATGGCTGCTAAACTTGTAGACTTCAGTATCAGAAGGCTCAGCTGCTTTTGTCACCCTGGGACATCCTCTACCTCTCAGCCTCTTTCTTGTCTGTTAAGTGGGAATCCTAGTACCTATGTAACAGGGCATTATGAATGTTAAAGGATGTAAATATTTGTAAATATCAGTAAGTATAGGCTGCATTTAAATTATTAATCTAAATGTAGGTTGTTTTCAGGCTTGGAATATATGATTATAAAATTTCATTCATCATTTAGTTTTAAACTCAGATTGACTTGACCAAGAGTGATCATTGTATTGTGCAAAAATATCTGTCTCTACACTGCTGAATTTTTAATTTCTTTCAGTTTCCTTTACCCCTAAATTTAAAAATTGCTTTATTTTTATTTTTTGCAGGTTTGCATGCATCCCCACAATGTTCTGTCTGATGTGGTGAACTATACCCTGTGGTTAATGGAATGTTCTCATGCCTCAGGATGCTGCCATGCTACCATGTTTTTCTCAATCTGCTTCTCCTTTCGGGCCGTGTTGGAGCTCTTTGACCGCTATGATGGTCTTCGTCGTCTTGTGAACTTGGTGAGGTTCTTCAGTGGCTTCTGTTTGCAAGGAATAGGGGTTCTGCTTACCTTGGCTGCCCTTCAGCAGCATTGAGGAGAGGAAGCTTCTGACTGGAGGAATTTTGCTATCATTTTTTGTGGATGAAGTCCTCCCCGCACCTCACCAGCCACAATTTTCTCTTCTTCTTAAGTGTTTAGAGGACTCTGCCATGATAGAATGGCCTCAAATACAGTAATTTTATAGGGGGAATTGCTGTTGATAACCTCATGCCTGCATGTCTTTAAAGTTTTGCTTTCATTTGGCTACTCGTAGCATGTATAGACAGGTATACTTTGATGTTTGTCAATCTTGTTGAGCATAAAAGTTTACTGAAATCTTTGTCCTCTTACTTTTCTCTTCCTGTTTATTCTCCCCTCCCTTTGCCCCATTTTCTTGCTTTTTTTCTTAATAGATCAGTACTTTGGAGATTCTAAATTTGGAAGATCAGGGTGCACTTCTGAGTGATGATGAAATATTTGCTAGCCGCCAAACTGGGAAACATACCTGTATGGCCTTGCGCAAGTACTTTGAGGCTCACCTGGCCATTAAATTGGAACAAGTAAAGCAGTCACTTCAGAGGACCGAGGGTGGCATTCTTGTCCATCCTCAACCCCCATATAAGGTGAGAGGACCTTGACTTAAAAGGGAAAGTTGTTAACACACTCTGTAGCATCGTGGGCATGAAACTCACATTTAGATCGGTGGAGTCTATGCGGGATGTACTTTATTGGATTATACTTGCCCTGTTTGGAGGCAGAATACCTGAGAATGGATGTAACAGGATTTGAAGGATTTATTTTGTCCCCAGTTGGAAGTTGCTACTTCTCTGGGATATTAGAACTAAAAGATGAACTGGAGTATGTGCAAAAAGGCTGTCTCTTAATGAAAAAATACTGGATGTCCTACTTAATGTGTGAAATTTCTTTTCTGAAATGGTGCGTCGCTAACTCTACTGTATTATTTTTAAGGTTGCTGTGTTTTGGGATGAAGATTAGTATTTGCATGTTTTTTTTTTTTTTTTTAAATAGCTGAGCCATCCTTTCACCTGTTGGCAGCTCAGCGGCAATTCAGCTTGGGCTGGGAATTGAACCGCTGTTGCTCAGAGCTCTCACTCTTGAGTGAACTCTTAACCACCTGAGCCACTCGGCTGGCCCAGTATTTGCATGTTTTAAAAATCACAACTTGAAAAGAAACCAGTTATTTTACACGGTGCATCTTTTTCTTCTTAAGCAGTGAAATATATGCACCAACCAGTTGAACATTTTGTTACCTTTTTGGACAAAATGTATTGTGAGTTCAGTTATAAGTGAAAGATTAAACATGTTCAGTATTTCATATGTGGGCTATTGACTCAAGAATTGTGGAATTTGAAAGCTATTATTACTTAGCTTTATTATTGTTAAAACCTGTTGGCCATTGGGCTGTGCTAGAGAATGTAGCAGGCAGATGATATATTTTGTAATAATATGTATCTCTCCTTATAGGCATGTTCATATACTCATGAACAGATTGTGGAAATGATGGAGTTTTTGATAGAATATGGCCCAGCACAGCTATATTGGGAACCAGCTGAAGTCTTCCTCAAGCTTTCTTGTGTCCAACTTTTGTTGCAGCTTATTTCTATTGCCTGCAATTGGAAGACCTATTATGCAAGGTGGGACCAGAAAGAGATTTCAGATGAAGTTAGATTCTGCTTTTTGCTGAGTTGATGTTGGTTTCACATAGTGTATGCTTAACAAACGTTTGTTGAACTAAGTTGAAATTTTAGACTTGAATCTGAGAAGCTAGATTAAACATAATATTTTTAATTTACACAGTGTTTGTTTATATTTGTGGTCTTGGTGATCATAAATATTGTACAATAGGTAGGGAGCAACATCTTACATAATTTACATGGCTATAACTGCAGAGGTGGGATTGAAATCCTATTTTGATACTGGAGGTCCAGTATTCTTTGGTACTTTAAATGTGTCTCTACTGTTTCACAACCATATGTAATGTTTATCTTACCTTCATATTAAACTATTTTTTGCTTTTGTTGTGATTTTCACAATTCAGTCAAAAACAGTCAGAGTAGAGCAGCACAAGGCTCAGAAAAGGACAGCTGATAGAATCAGGAGGTTGGGTGCATTCTAGAGGAGGATGATGTAAAAGGAATTAATACTATATTTTGGAAAAGATGGAGTCTGAAGAGAAAATAGTAACAAAGTTTATATATATAGTGGTTCTTGACCTTCTTTTCCTATTTGCCCACTGCCTTAAAGAGAAGAGAGGCTTATTTACGCATGTAGATTGTTTGCAAAACCCAGGATATTAAATCTAGGGGGATACTTTTGGAGCAGCCATTTTCAAACTTTTTGGTCTCAGGGACCACTTGACTGTATTAAAAATTATTGAGAACCCCAAAGAATGTTAGTTTTTGTGTTATATCTATTGATACTTACCATATATGAAATTAACTGAGAAAATATTTATGAATTTATTTAAAAATAATATGAATCCATTGCATGTTAGCATTTTTTATGAAAAATTTCCAAAATAAAACCAGATTTCAGCAAGTTCTAAAAATGTCTGGCTTAATATCTCATATCTGCTTCTGTATTCAGTCTTTTGTGACATCACACATGATATAACCTCTGGAAAGCTCCATTATACAGTTGTGAGGTAATAAAAGTGAGTATGCAGTTGAGATAAGAGTGAGAAAGGAGAATAACATCTTAGTATCATTATGAAAATAGTTTTTTTGTCATATGACTTTCTGAAAGGGTCCCAGAGACTCACTCCCAAGGGTTCCCTAACCACACTTTGAGAACCATTGTTTTAGAGTGTTTTAAGTTATATTTACTTTGAGAACTTTGCTTAAAAGATGATTAAAGCTCAAAAGATAACAAGGAAGGTTATTAAATATATTTTTGGACTGGTAAATCCATATTTGGATTATTAAAATATAAATTTTTGGAATGTATCCTTTAAAAGTTTATTTTTTTTAGATTTTTTTTTTTTATTGGGGAATGGGGGGATGGGAACAGTGCTG